AACTACGTGAATCTTATTATAAAACCATAATTTTGATATCTCCATTATTTCGTGAGATATCGCAATAGGTAAATCCTCGCGGGACACCATGTATATTTTGATCATTTTTAGCAGCATAGCTGCTTACATATTCAAGCGCTTTTTAGTACATGCATTTATGCACAAGTCCTGATGATTAAATTTTTAATTATGCACCATGATTGATTCACCTAATTTCCCTAATTAGTTTTATCCTGGTAAAACTGAATCTTTCGTTTTAACATTCTCAAGAGAATCTTTTGGGTCTTTCCTACATTCAAYATTACCGTGAGCAATGAAAATATACCTAAATATATACAAAAATATCGTTAAGGTTTCAAAAACTATTAACTAATGTAATAAATTATTTTACAGATATTTTMACCACCGGTTACCAACTATAATMACATGTATAACGATTTTTTCCCAACACCGATTTAGGTAGGTCGGGTTCGGTTTACATACCCATTTATCGTTTAAGTACCACGTGACGTTGGACGGCGGACTTGATGGCGGTGACGTGCAGTTGCCTTTCAACGTGTCTCCAATGGTGTAGTGYCGTTTCTCCAGCGACAGCACGGGTTGTCCGACAGGTGGGTCTGAAACGAGACATGTCGCACACATTAACGGCGTAATTATAGTGGCGATCGCGTTACCTACGTAGAATACGTACGTAGGTAATGATAATAGAATAATAATCATCTGTGTGGGCGCACACGAGGGAACGTATAAATTATGATTTAACAATAATATWATAATATGCCAAGTGCAGAGTTATATCTCAAAACGACCATTACAGCCAATTATAGATCACGACGACGTATTACACATAGAGTAGATATTATGTAATATTATGACGAGGGTGGTCATACTATATTTTTTGGTATGCAGATCCACCGAGAATTATATAGAATATTTATTGTTTACCTTTGGAAATAAAAATGACCTATGTAATATGCTGGTGTAATATTATTATCATACATGTCTTGGTAAATATTTGAAGAGGGTACATCTTATTGTATTTTGAAGGCATTTAAAAATATAAAATTCTTTTAAAGATTTTTTATTGATCCATGATGTTTTTCACCTTAACTAAACAATTCCCCCCTTTCTCAATAATAGGTGACTATCAACGACGAATATTATATAGTGGCTATAAAGTCTATAGATATAATTAGATATATAATATACAATAAGAGTATGCGAT